ACATAATACACTATGAGATAATCGAGAAGACGAAGCAACATTGTTACAAAATAATAAATGGTGGACTCCTTTGTAATGTACAAAAGTTTGGGGTAATTTTTAAAAAATATAACAGTAATATTTTGGATCAAAATATGCTCTTGAGCTGGTTTTGGGATTAGGTTTTGGATTTTGGGAATTTGCCAAAATATGGGTAAATTTATGAGCAAATATGTATTTGCCAAACAAAAAAAAAACTCAAATAAATTTTCGCAAAATCTATGGCCAAACGATCCTAAGATATTTGTTGTACTCCCTCCGTTTCCAAATGATTGTCCTAGTTTGACTACACAAACTTTAATAAACAAGAGAAGACTTTTAGAATATGTGTTCCTAAACTTTTGAAATTTGTACTCTTAAACCTGTCATAATATTTGTCTTGCTATAAATGCTCCCTATTAAAGAAATATTGAAAAGTGTCAATCTTTTTTTAAATAACTAATAAGGGAATATTACTAATATTTTTGAAACAGAGGAGTAATAAAAATTCAAATCTAGAAACTTGTTAAAATTAAAAAAAAAAAAATGGGATACGAAAGAAACGACTTTGACAAGTTTAAATTTGAAGACCTCACAGCGAAGCGGGGGGGAGGGGGGGGGGGGCGGGAGAGTTCTTTGAAATTAAAGATATAAACCAACTACTCATTCATAACGCCTTCACAATCTTTAAAAAATTTAATCTGACATTTTCTCACCTTTATCCTGTCCCAATTTCGCGGCGCGGGAGGTGGGGGTGGGGGGCGAAAAACCAATTTCTGTAAATGAACTTCATATCTTATGTATGATATTTCAAAACATATAGTTTTGGTATGAAAATGAAATGTATCTGCATAGTAAACTAACACGATCTAAACCAAGACAACAAGGACTAAATGGGAGTTTTGGTCTTACCAAGACAACGGAATCCCTAGCAGCAATGGCTGTAATGTCAGAGCAAGACACAACTTGCCCACATGCATCGTGAACCCTTTTCCTAAGATCATCAATGATCTTGAATGACTTCTTTCTTAGTGTCAAATTTAGGAATTGCAGTCTGCTCACTTGGCCCTCCTGCTGATCCATCTAGCAACACTGAACTATCACATCCCTGCATTACATATCCATCAAAAACTAAATAATGACACATTTTTATATCTCAAAAACTCTTTAACTTTACTCTTAATAACGTCATTTTGTTGTTGTAGAAATAGTACGACATATTTAACAACATAAGTTCAGAGTATTTTAGTATGTGTCCGAAAAATCTTCATTCCTTCTTTTTCTTAAGCTCCACTACCAATCAACTACAACCATATAATATGAATTAGAAGATGTATTTTTTATTTTATTTACTGCAATAATAAGTATGTAAATTTAAGGAATGAAATTAGTTACCTGAACAAAGCAATCATGGAAATGAAGGCGAAGTAAACCGGCAGCTTGGCCAACATCATCCTTGATCTGTTTTTCAAGCCTCTTCCTAATAATGGATTCAAGCTGAGGGCAACTAGTTTCATAAAATCTCCATGAAAGACCTTTAACTGGAGCAGGTATCTGAGCTTTTGCTACAAACAAGGAAGAAGAAACAAGAACAAGAAGTAGAAAACTTGAAGTAGTTGACACCATAGCGCGCTGCTGTCTCTTTCTATATTGGTTAGCTAAATTGATACAAAAACAGCAGGACCAAGGGTCAAATTTATAGCCATATAAAGTTATCCACTTGGATATATTTTTGACTTTAAGGGGCATCTCGGAAATTACTATTGTACGAAAGAGCCGCGTGGCCGTCACACTGCTCTGGACCTTTTAGTTTGAATATATTTTAAGTAATTTATATTGCATAGAAATAATGATTCCAAGACAGACACATATGACATATCTCTGTTCTTTAGAGTACTATATTTGCAAATTTCGTGCAGAGTGTAATTATATTTTCTATTATTAGTTATATTCAATAGAAAAATAGAATATGTTAGCCGCCAATAAAGAACGCCAACTTTATTTGGAGAGAAGGGAGGGTACTATTCATTGTATCCTTATATATATTCGCAAAACTTTATCTCTATCGTCTAGGGATTAATAATGTTTCTTCACCCTAAACCAAAAATTTTGACTCGAGTATAGGCAGGGGCGGATCCCCGCTCGGTTGATAAAATTATTATATATTTATGTTAAAAAAATTTAAACTAGATTAAATAAATGATTCTGCCACCCCCATTCGCAAATTAGACGAAGGTGCCATGACTGGTAGACCTTTTTGAGAGCTTTTTTCGTGTGTAAAATTCAAGTTCGAATTTATCTTAAATTTTGTCTGACTTTCCTTTTTTGTTGTGCTTTTTATTTATTTTGTCCCAGTCATTTTTCTTTTTGGCTACCTCCCAATTTCCTATTTGTCGTTTATTATTTTTATATTTTTCCTCTATTCTATTACTTTATTTGTGATAGTTAGCAAGAACACTAAAAAAAGCCTCCAAAATTTAAAAATTTCATAATATAAGCATTTCTCTTAATCTCAAATCTTTTAGTTTTCTTTTCTCAAAATCAAAAAACTTGGGTCTTGATATTTAAATAGAGATCAAAATATAATTTCTTTTTTTATTATAACATAAAAATTTGTGTTATTCTATGATTGTTAAATACAATTTAAATCTCTTTAGTATTAAATTATGATGAACATTTCGCAAGCATTAGATTTATGATTTTAAGTTTTGAGATCTTGTAGTTTATCTAGTTATGCATTTACTTATGGGGTATAATTTTTCTATTGAAGATGTTTTTGTTTTTATTTTTGTTATTCTGATCGGCGGAGTTCCCTTATTAAAGATTTTATTTTACTTGTGCAAATTTATTTTTAGCATACAAAAAACAATGTGGCTCCCTAGTAAAAATATTGATTTTACTTGTATTATTAATAATAAAAGTGTGATTCCTTCTTTAAAATGCTAATCATATTTGCTTCTTAATGTCTGAGATGTAATATTCATACGACAATAATAACATATATACCCAATGAAATTCCATAAGTAGGGTCTGGAAAATTAATGTAACTTTTATATTTGCAAATAAAATGCTTATTAAGTCCCTGAATAAACTAATAAAATGAACGGGACAAACGTTCCGAACAAACAATATATTAGTAGTTATTATTAGGTGTACAGTAAAGGAAAGTTTGGCACCCGCCACCTTTAAATCCTAGATCCGCCTCTAAATTTAATTGGACGCTGGATTTAAATTTTTGGAAGAGTTGAGCTGTATGTGTTTCTTGTTGAAAGTATTTTTTAGAACATTATTGAAAAGCTGGTACGTGAAGCAAGAGCTACAAACCCCATTGAAGAAAGCTTTAAAGCTTAGCTCGAAAATTTGGTTTTCGAAAATGTGAACTATTCTAGTGGGTGTTATTGTGTTTTGTTAGAGATCTCTTGGGGAGCTTAAATCTCAAAATTATAACAAATTTGGTGAAGATTCAAAGAAGTTGGGTTGGAAATTTTGAGCAAATAACAATAAAGATGAAGAACAATGCTGGTTTTTTTAGATTTTTGACTTCTATTGTAACGACCCCACCGGTCGTTTCTAGCCCTAGCGCGTGATTTAGTAGTTTGAGGCACTAAGCAGCTTCACTTCAGGTATTATGACTTGTATGCATGGTGGGAATTGAATTTCGGGAAGTTTGGAATTTATTGGAAAGAACATCGTCATTTCGAAAGGTTTATGTTGGCAGGATTGACTAAGACTGGATATTTGAGTAAACGACCTCGGAATTGGGATTTGAAGGTTCTAGCAGGTTCGTATGATGATTCTGAACTTGGGCGTATGCCCGCATCAGGTTTTGAATGACCCGGGAGCATTTCGGCACATATTGTGGAAGTTAGCATATTTGGAAGAATTTCATAAGTTTGGGTTGAAGTGCCTTTCAGTGTTATTGATGTCCGTTTGGGATTTCGGGTCTGGGAATAGCTCCGTATGGTGATTATGGTATTGGGAGCGCGGTCGGAAGTGAATTTGGAGGTCGTAGGTCATTTTGGAGTCATTTGGCTAAAGTTAGAAATTTGAAGGTTTTTGAGAAGTTTGATCAGAAGTGGACTTTTTGATATCGGGGCCGGATTCCGATTCCGGAAGTTGGAGTAAATCCGTAATGTCGAATATGACTTGGGTGCAAAATTTGAGTTCAGTCGGACGTGATTTGATAGATTTCGGCATCGAATGAAGAAGTTTGAAGTTCTAAAGTTCATCAAGTTTGAATTGGGCATGATTTGTGATTTTAGCATTGTTTGATGTGATTTGAAGGCTCGAATAAGTTCGTAATTTGTTTTGGGACGTGTTGGTATAATGGGTTGAGGTCCCGAGGGCCCCGATTGGATTCTGGGTGGTAAATGGATCGAACTTGAACTTGGAAGAAGGGCTGAAGCAGCTGGGCTTCTGGTGTAACCGCACCTGCGAGGTTATGGCCGCAGGTGCGGCACTGCAGAAGCGGCCACGAGGGTCGCAGGTGCGATCTAGGCTAGGAGAGCTGGGAGCGCATATGCGGTCATCCCGCAGTAGAAGCGGGACCGCATCTGCGGAAGGAAGGGCGCAGATGCGGAAGTTGAGGGGCCAAATGAGGACAGCAGAAGCGGATCATGGGTCGCACCTGCGGAACCGTAGAAGCTGTCAAGTGACCGCAGGTGCGGAAATTCTTGAGGCAGTGAGATTCTTTAAATCGGGGGTTTGGCTCATTTCAATCCCATTTCTTCCATGGGAGCCGATTTTGGAGAAACTTTGAGGGGCCATTTTTACCACCAAGCATGAGGTAAGTGGTTTATACTATTTTGAGTTAAATACATCGATTAAGTATACGTTTTAACATGGAAATTAGTAGAAAGTTGGGATTTTTAGGAAAACCTAGAAATTTGGTATTCTTAGATTTTGACCACAATTAGTAAACATGAAACTGAGAGTAAATAATATATTTGAGTATGTAAGGTTATGGGTAAAGTTTATCTTCGAAATATTTCGGAATCCGGGCACGTGGACCGGAAGGCGATTTTGTCAACTTTTCAATGTGGAGTTGGAAATTTATATAAATTGAATTGTTATAAGTATTAGGGTATATTTTCATTGGGTTACCCATTATTTCTAGTTTTGGGAGCGTTGGCATCGATTTGAGTCATAGGAAGGGCGTGGAATGCCGGTTATGTAACTTCGGAGCGAGGTGAGTCTCCTTTATAACCTTGTAAGAGGGAATTAACCCCATAGGTGAAATAATTAATTGTGTTCCTAATTGTGGTGGCTACGTACGCACGAGGTGATGAGAGTCTGTGCGTAGCTACTATTATGCCTATGTCCGGGTAGTCTTAGGTTACACCATGCTTTGTTGATATTGTTGTTGATCGATGATACTGTTTTCCTTGAAGCAAAAAAAGATTTGAGGTTGCGTAATAATTGTGTTGAAGGTATTTTAATAAAGGAATTTAAGAATTTAAGTGCTTCCATTAAATGTAGTACTTTCAAAAAGAATTGAGGAATCTTATAATAACGTAAGAAATATATGTGTAACTGCATCGCATGTATATTTCGCGAGCGGGGAAAATTACTTTAAAAGCCTCACGTTGAATTGTCTCTATTTTTGAAAAGAATCAAGAAAAGGATTTTGTGTTATTAATAAATTCAAATTTGACCGTGTTACATATATGATTCGCAGGCGGGGAAATTCCTTAAATCTATATTTGACCGCGCCGCACGTATGATTCGCGAGCGGGGTACTTACTTCTACTACTCTCATGGGAGCAGGCCGATCGTCTCGGCATGTCAATAGATGCATCTATGGTTCGCGCCGTTCGACCCTCGGCAGTGCACAATTTACTTTTATGTTGGATCGGGCCGTACGCCTCGGCATTTCCTATATATNAGTTTGGTCTTCAAAGAATATTGCATCACGACTTCTAATAAGTTTATTATCAATTGGATCATAAAAACAATACCCAAACTCATCTTGACCATAACCGATAAAGATGCACTGCTTAGTTTTGAATCCAGTTTCGATCTCTCATCTTTAGGAATATGCACACAAGCTTTACACCCAAAAACTCTCAGGTGATCATAAGAAACATCTTTGGCAAACCAAACTCTGTCTGGGACATCACCATCCAAAGCAACAGTAGGAGACAAATTGATAACATAGGCAACAGTGTTAAGTGCTTCCGCCCAAAATGTATTTGGAAGTTTAGCCTCTGAAAGTAAGCATCTAACTCTCTCAACTAGAGTTCTATTCATCCTCTCTGCCAAACCGTTCAATTGAGAGCGTCGTTGGGCGGTAGTTTTATGATGACGTATTCCTTGTTCCTGCTAAATGTTAACTCGAAAACGGACCACT